GGAAAATTTCCTTGAGCATCCTCGCCATCCTGCACTCCCTCACCTGAACCACTGTCGCACTAATTAGCATACAGATTAGCAGCAGGTTGTTCCCCAGTGTGTGAGCTTGGGGGAGAGCTCAGCCTTTTATGTTGGGTGAGTAGGTAAGAGGCAGTTAATAAGTAAGCAGGGGCCTGGGCATCGGCTTTGATCTGCGAGGCAACAGGAACCGTTGAAGGTACTTGTTTAGGAAAATGAACACCATGAAGAAAGAGGTGTTGGGTAGGAATGGGATTGAATTACCTGGAAGAGAGAACCTCGGGTAAAAGAGCTATTTTGAACTTATGTTCCAAGTGTGGTCTGCAGACCAGTAGCCTCAAGGTCACTTGGGAATTCGTTAGAAATGCAGATTCTGGGGCCTGCCCCAGATCTGCTGAATCAGAATCGGTGTTGTGAAGATTCTAGGCTCATCCTCCTGCCGGTTAGGGCTGGAGACGCACTGCCCTGGAGAAGCTGCAGCCTCTCTGGCATCCGGGACCACAGTGCAAACAGGGCAGCTGAAATGACCTTGGCAGATGTCTGACTTCTTGCATGTTTGCTCTGTAAGTTGCCAAAATGGATTTTCAGAATCATCTTTTTTTTTTTTTATTTGGGGGGAAAAAATAGTCTTCCAAATAGTATTTTTAGAAATACAGTCTTAGAAATGCTACTTTATGGGCTTGTTAAAACTTTAAGAATCATAAATCGATGAGTAGTCTCAGCTGACTATAAAGTCAGTCTGTCATTTGAAAGAATCTAATGGGGACAAATGACTCAATGTCCTATCTGTTATTCCCAGGGACTGGAATTTCGGGATGAAGTCAAGATTTTGTAAAAGAGCCCAAGTGTGGCTGCTGTACATCTTATAATTGTGTACTTATTTGAAGTCTAAAGAGGAAAAGAAAGCAGAGGACAGATTTTTGTATTGTTGTGTTTGTGCAGTAACTAAAGGAAAGTCAGAGCCTGCTAGCCTCACACGTAGCTGTCTTTTCCTATGTTCCATTACCAACATTGCCCATCAAAACACAGAATTTTCACAGTTATAATTATGGTATAGATGCAGCTTTGTAGTCTACTGTGTCATTCAGCATATTTTCCTGCTTCCCAACTCCTCCTCTTCCCTTCTCCACTGTTCCTCTTCCTCTCATTTCTGGCCTCCCTAGTTCTGATCTCTGGTCCATCTTGGGCCTCTACCACAGTATTTCCTGTTTAAGAGTTTATAGAAATTCCTTGCCATGAGCCTGAGCATTGGTTTGTTCTTCCAGCCTCAGCTCTTCCTGGCCTGGCTGGCCCAGGCACACCTTGTTTACTTTCTCCTCTGTTACCACCTCAAAACTGATGACACATCTGCTCTGTTCTCCCAGGGTCGTCCTCATTGACTTCTTGCAGTCACCGCCTACCTTTTACAATGGGGTCTGCCCTAAAGGCTTCACAAGTGGGGCCACAAGGCACCATTCTTGTCTTCTCCTATTTGCCAGATGCTCAAGAACATAGATGCAGAGGACTCTGAGCAATTGTGTGCTAAGTTTGCTAGCAGAGGAGTCATCAGAAGACAGACAGGTCCTTGTGCTGAGGATGCAGGAGGTCAGGGTGGAGGCGACCTCGCTGAGCCCTGGAGTTAGAGTTCCTGGCTCACCTCAGAGTTTGGAGTCCCACCTGGGGATGCTTTTATTGTAGCCTATGGCAAACTTTGAACCATGGATCAGTTTACTTATTTCCCTGAATTGTTCTGTTGCTAAGAAGTTTGGCAGATTACTATGAAGAAGAAAACTGATGCTTTAGAAGGGAAATGATATTAAAATTTTGAACCAAATTAAGGAACTTAAGTCAGAAACTTTGTATAGGTATTGATAAGAGACACTTATAGGGGAAAGCATTTAAGCTGAGGCATTGTTCAAATAGATGCCTTAGAATGAGAATGATCACGTCATCTTGTGCTGGTTACTAAGATAGCTTCTGGTATCTGCTTGGTACTTGGCAAAAGATTTTAAAGATATTCTCCAATAGAAAAGGCTAAGTTCCTGTCTAGCATCAGATGTGAGTTTGAGAAGGAAAGGTGAGCTTTTGCTCATTAAAATCAGCCTTTGCTTTTCAGATCTTGGAATTCACTGCATGTTAGCCTGTGTTGACAGTTTATTTCCCAGACTTTCTTCCAATATAGAGCAGTGGAGCAGATTGGGTAGCTTTGGAGAGATGGGGTCAGAAAGCCATTAGAAAGGAGACATTTTGAGTGAAATGTTTCTGGACACACATGGCTGCAGGAGGAGGGATGGTGCCTACCTCTTACCCAGGATGATCTCTGTTTAGACTGCTGTCCTGCTCTGATTATCAATATTTGTCTCCTTTCTCTCTCAGAAATGTCTTGGTTTGGATGATCAATTATATGGTCACCCTATTGAAAATAAAACACTGAAGAAGTACTCCATGCCGGACACTGTGGCAAGCACTCCGTGCAGTCCTCACAGAACACTGAGAGGTAGCTGCACCTGCCCCTTTGCAGGTGAAAAGATGCTCAGAAAGGGCAGCAGAGCAAGGCCTTTCAGACCTGCAGGCTCGTTCACTTTCCCAGCCTGCCACACCAAGGGTTTAAGGGCTGTGGCCGCCTTCTTCTGCGACTGTAGTGAAGGAGTCCTGCAATGAGAACGAAAGCCTTCATCTGGAAGAAGCAGTGGGAGGGAGAGTGGACGAGGGTCAGGTGGTGTCTGTAGTGAGGCCTCTGGGAGTGAAGACAGAGCCATGCTGCAGTTAGATCTCTAAGCTCCTGGAAGCTTGTAGCCATTCGTTCCTCAATATCCTTAAGCAGACCTGCTGCTCGGGCGTGCGGTCTGTCAGGTCTGGGTGGGAAGGTGGTGGTGCTAGTCGTAGAGATGTGTGCTGCTCTCCCGGCCTGCCCCACCTGCTTTGAGCAGCAGGAGTGTAGTGCATGGTTAGGTTTTCTGTGCCTGGGGCATGGGGGTCACCATATACATAGGTGCTCTGATTTTAGAGGGGAGGGTAGAAATGTTTGCCCTCACATTGGGGTGGAAGGGACTATATAGATAGTTTAGGGGGATTGGGTACTTAAACGTGGATGTTTTTAAAAGAAGCATTATGGTTTGTAATGAATACATACAGACTATTTTAAACATATGCCCTCGGTTTGTGGGGAGGGTGGATGGAGAGAGCAGGAGGGAGTGGTCTGGGGTGGGGGTGGCCCCCGCCTGGGGAGTTTTTGCTCAGCCTGTGTGACGGTGAACGGTGAACGGTGAACGAGGTTTTGACAGACACAGACAGGGAGCACGCAGACTATCTACAGCCAGACAAGAATAACGTGGATAGATGACACAGCAGCAAAGCTCTAAAAATCCTCCAAGAGAGGAGTCCCTCCCACAGACTGGCCGTTCCTCTAGACCAAAGCCGAGTGCCCGTGGACAGGGTGCTGCAGGAGGCGCTGGCCAGCACTCCGGTGGCTGACAGTGTTCGCCCTCCCTCTGCCCCCTTGGACCCTGTCATGGGTGGTCCCAGGTGGGCTTGCTTCCCATGTCTGGTTATTTCTTCTGTAAATGGGGGAACGGGGTGGAGTGCTGCCAGCTGGAGCGGGCTAGGGGCAGGGAGCAGCCCGCCTGCGGGGGCTGGGATCTTCACTCTCCCTCCTTTTGAGGGTCATATTGGAAACGCATTGAGCGCTGACACAGGAGAAGATGCTGGCAAAGAGGAGATGGAGGTTCCAGAAACTCCGGGCAAAGCTGGCCTTTATTGTTGGAGCTGAGTGGTCGCAGAAATAAGGCCATGGTCCTGGCTACACCCCTGAGAGAGAGGGTGCAGGCCACTAAAGGCATCAGCGACCTCACGGCTGGCAGCAGGGCTCTGAGGCTCCTGGAAGGGCACGGGGAAGAGTCTTGACAACAGGGCTTCTACGAGGCATAAGGCGACTTCTGAGACTGTTCCTCGTGTTTTGGTTTGTCAGGCACAGTGTCTGTCCATCTGTGCCTACAGTTGTAGGAGGGAGGGAGGTGCTGGACCTTATATATCTGCTCACGACTACTAATGCTCATCCTTTTGGAGTGAGGGAACCCAAGAACTGATTTTCCTAGTCAGGGCTGATCTGACTCGGCATGCAGGTTGTGGGCCACGCCTAGGGCATCCTGGCAACGCCCCATCCCGCAGCCTAGTGGACCCCTTTTCTCTGTGGTAAGCTGCTCCAGATGAGCTTGGGGCACTGGGCATTGTCTCCAGGGTCCGAGCATGCAGTGTTTTTCTGAAGGTTGTCCTGTTCCTCAGTGGGGGACACTGCTGTGTCAGGGGCCACTTGGAGCACATAGATTTTTGCCAGCAGGGTTGTGGAGCTTTGCACTGGGCTGCAAAACCAGGGCTTGAGCAAGCAGCTGGAGAGAGTCCAGGACTAGAGTGTTTTTGGGTTTGGGGGTGGAGAGCAGAGGGAGGGAACGGGAGGGGCAGGAGGGCAGAGCTACACCAGCAGGCAGTCGCTGCTTTGGCTCTGCTGTCGGCGGAGAGGACTTCCGTCGTGCCTGAGGGCCGCCTGGCCACCATTGCCGGGGACCGGAGGGCGCTGTCTCGCAACCCTGACTTACCGGCACTGCACCCGGGCTGTTCTGAGTAGCTGTTGTTCCGTCTCTTCCCTGGGAGGCAAGTCTCCTCCCTGTCGTCCCCTTCTGCTCCTCCCCCGATCTGTGAAGGATGATGCCGCTCTCTATTGCACGGCTCAGCCGGCTGATGTCACTGGCAGCGGGAAGCATCAGCAGCCTGATCACATGCTGGCCCAGTCTGTAATGCAGACGGGATAGGGGTGTGTGTGTGGGGAGGGGGCTGCATGGCAACCGCTGCTGTTCTGACGCCCCCAAAAGTGCAGAGGCAGCGGCTGCAGCGTGCAGCCCACTTGGATGACTGGTCCTTAAGCCTGGGGAAACTGTTATTATTTATTGTTGATTATACTGGGGCAAGCAGCCCTTAACTCTGAGATTTTGCTGTCCTCCTGTCCAAAGCAGACTTCCCGGACTCTGAAGAAACAGTTCCAAGCAGGATGCTTTTCCCCACCTCTGCGCAAGATTCTCCCCGTGGCCTCCCAGATGCAAATGACTTGTGCCTTGGCCTGCAGTCCCTCAGTCTCACAGGCTGGGACCGACCCTGGAGCACCCAGGACTCAGATGCCTCAGCCCAGAGCAGCACACACTCAGGTGGGTGCCAGAAAATGAGCTGGCTAGGGGAGGGGGCGCATGGGGTGGCCAGTGAAGATATCCACAGCAACAGTTGTTCTGTTCCCCTTTGCATCCCCCCCCCTCCACAACATGGAGCTTTTTTTGCAAGAGATGGAGATGCTGCTGGCTGTGAGTGTGCAGGACAGATGGTTGCTCATAAAGGCAGGCACGGCTTCTCCACTTACCCTGACAGATTCCCTGGAGTTGTTAGTCTGCACCTGGGGTGGCCCTGGGAAAGGTCCCCAAGGTGACAGCCGTATGCCGAAAAGATCCAGATAAACCTCCTAGTGCCCTGGCCTGTCTCAGAGATGATGAAGCAAAACACTTTTGAGCGGGGGAGGGGACCTCAGGGGCTGATTACTGGACGTCCAGATTCTATTTCTCAGTGGCTTTTAAGACTAGGGAGCTATGTTTGAAGGATGGGTGGTCCTCGAGTCATGGCAAGCGAAGAATTTCAGCGTCCAGTGAGGCTGGGTAATCCTGGGATATCGGAATTGGCTTTATACAGGTTAAGAGCATTGATCCCGGAACGGGGTAGGCAGGGTAGGCGGGGTGGAGTAACTCGCCTGCCGAGGCTTTTTTTCTTTCTTTGTGTTAAGGGTATCCAAGTGGAAGAGCCACTCCTCTTTAGGATCCCTTGTCACTTGGAAGGATTCGATGGGGACAAATTAAAGAGGCTTCTTGGCCACCCCTTGAACTGCTTCTGCTCAGACCTTCCCACTGCCCGTTTATTTCCCTCTTGTGGTACAAAGGGGAGGGTTGGCCAAATGCAAGTCTTGGAGTGTTCAGGAAGAAATATGAACTTAAGAAACACTACAGGATACTTATAATTTACATATTTTACTTGATGTTAAATTATATTTTAGTAACAAGAATATTGGCAGCAGCTACTTAGGAGGATGGAAAGGTTGGGTGGGGGGGACAGCCATTTGCAGTTGGTGCTGGCAGCGGGAGTCACTGAGCTGCCACCCTTCCCTCGCCTCCCCCGCTCCAGGATCTGGCAGTCATGGCAGCAAGGTACCGTCTTGCTGATTTCTCTGGCCGCCACCCTGTTTGGCGCAGGTCTTTTTTTAGAATGCTTTGCAGAGCCTGGGACTGTTGTGTCTGCTGGCATTTAGTGCCCAGTTGTTTTGGTAAAATCTGATTTGATTGGGGGTAGTGGTTTGGGGTTGTTTTGGGTTTTTTTTGTTTGTTTGTTTTTATTTTGTTTTTTTTAACTTGTGATAGGTGGGAAAGGGTTTTACCTTAAGTAACTACCTCTAGGTTATGGTAGAACCTCTCGAAGTACTGGCCTTGAGCTGACTTAGGTTTTCTAGAAAGGTTGGTAACTGCCCCCTTCTCCTGGGGGCAAGGAAGTGTGGTATACTGTCTGGCACCCTGCGCCTGGAGACCTTGGCTTGGAGGCCATGGTCACTTCTTTTATGTGGTTCTTTTGAAGCCAACCTGGGTAGGCTGTAAAGCTGACCTTGCCCTCTGCCCCACAGTATCTGAGCTCCCCTAGGAGGTCGGCAGCAGTCTGGGCTCAGCGTCTGGCCAGGGCCCTATCTGTCACAGGTGGCAGGCGGGGTGTGGCTGCTCTCTGGCTCTGGTGTGTTGTAGTCCCGAGGGTGAGGGTCCTGAAACGCGTCACAGCACAGACGTACGGGGGCCATCTCGGAGCTTGCTGAGCTTGGCCTGGAAGTTACTGTGCAAATAGGCTGTAAAAGATAGCTTGGGCTATTTAGTCAGCAATAAAAAAGAATGAAATCCTGCCATTTGCGACCACGAGGATGGACCTAGAGGGTCTCATGCTAAGTGAAATAAGTCGGACAGAGAAAGACAAATACTGTATGATTTCACTTATATGCAAGATCTAAAACAAAATAAAGCAGAAACAGACTCATAGATACAGAGAGCAAACTAATGGTTTGGGAGGTGGGAGTTGGGAATGGGTGAAAAAGGGGAAAGGGAATGAGGTGCAGACTTCCAGTTATAAAATAAGTCACGGGGGTGTAAAGTACAGGGAATATAGTTAGTATTCTAACAACTTCGTATGGAGACAGATGGTTATTAGATGTATCATGGTGATCACGTCGTAAGGTATGTAAATGCAGAATCACTATGTTGTACACCTGAAATTAATATAACGTATGTCAACTATAGTTTAATTTAAAAAAAAAAGCTTGAGTCCAGCCATAATGTCCCCAGCGTCCCCACCACCTGAGAGCCCTGTGCTTGTAGCTGTCTGTCTCTCAGTGGGCATGGATTTACTTCACCTTCCATCTCAGGCACTGTAGTGATAAACATCACATGATTCCGTGGATCAGCGAGGGACTGCAGTCTGTGACCCTAGCATTCACAGGGACCAGAGGGAGGCCCCAGTGGCACGATCTGGCTGTGGGTAGGGTTAGTGTGGGTATGTCTTTCTCTCTGAGGGTTGAAGAAACACCCGTCCCTAATCCCCATGTTGTCCTGGGGTTTTGGAGCTGTGGTGATGGCCATCTTTCTCTCTCTGACTTCTGGGCCTTCTTGAAAAGCCAACATGAGGGTGCCGCCTTGTGGAGTGGGATGTGGCCCTCCCACCGCCAGCTGCAGTGCCAGAACGGGCACCCTTGCCAGCAGTGCGGGAACATGCAGCCCACATTTCTGTGCCTACACATCCTTCCCATCTGAAGACCAGCTAGCTCCGTTTCTTCCAGGGCGGGGAGCGGGGAGCGGGGAGGTATTTCAGCAGCTCTGGGGTCTTCCTTGCAGACAGCCTGGTGCCCTGCTGTCTCTGCATCCAGCGCAGGCTGCAGGCTTGTTCCTCGGGCTCTGCTGGGCGATCTGTTGCTCCAGGCAGCTACGGCTTCACATCTGAGCTGCTTCTACCGTCCTACGTATTCGGCAGTGTCGGGGGCAGGTTGAAGATAGCAGGACTCTCAACTGAAAAATCTTGGCTGAATTCATTCAACAGACATTGAGCACTAGCTGTGTGCCAGGCAGTATGTTAGGCACTGGGATAACCTCGTTGAGTAAAATCGTTGCCCTTGAAAATCCCTGTGACCATTAAGGGAAAACAGATGAGAAGGTGCCAAACGCAACGTGATCGTTGCTGCAATGGGATTTTTTGCACCGGGACAACCTTTCGCTGGGTTCTCAGCATGAGATGGAACACAGGGGCCTTTCTCCAGGCGCTGCGGTTCTTCTGCTGTGTGGATGTCATTGGCCTCAGCGGCCTGGCCTGCCGGAAGGCCTGAGGGTGGGATCTGTGTCTGAGTCGAGCCTGCAAGGTCAGCGGGGGCTGGGTGTAGCACTGTGTGTGCCCCTCCCTCCCTCCTAGACCTGCCTCCCTGAGACCCGATGGCATGTGCTCAAGGCCACCTCTGTCCCCCTTGCAGTGTCCGAAGTCCTACAGTGGAACAGCAGGGCTGTGGAAGCCATCCTCAGTGTCCTGGGGTGGGGCACAGTCCCTAATGACCAGCGTCGTCAACCGCTTCCTGCACTACATCCACCACGTGATTTTAATGCTTGTGCAGGCCCATGCAGTGGGCACTATTACTGTTCCTATCTGAAAGATGAGGTTGCCAAGTGCCAAAAAGCAACACAACTACCAGAATTCCAGCCCAGGTCTCTGGTTCTAGACCTCTGCTTTCTGTGACACCTGTGTTTCTGTGAGCAGAACCTTAGCGTGTTGACCATGAGCACTTAACGGTAAGGTCGCTGCGTACCACTCCGGGCTGTCCAGCCAGAGCTGACGTGTTCCCTCATGAGGTCCCTGAGGGCCAGGGCACACGACTGACGGTTCTGAGTCTCAGCTCAGTCCACAGGATTGCCTTCCTGCCTTTCCCCAGCTAGCTCTTTTGCATGCAGCATAACTCAGCGTGACAGGGGTGACCAAGCATCTCTTTGGGGGATCTGGAAACAAGGCCTCCTAATGGTGCCTTGTGCAGAAGCCCAGGGGGCAGACCATGTGCTCAGCGTCGGGTGCTGGAGGATGCATCTTGTTTCCTCCACTCTTCCTGTAGAAGCTCCTTGGGGATTCGCAGGTGTTCACTCTCTTAAGTTTCTGCCCTCAATGCGGCTCAGTGAATGCTGTGTCCCCATACCGTGTCACTTGCAGGCTCCTCATTGGTCAGCAGACTAGATCAACCTGGGGCGAGAGGAGAATTTTGTTTCTGCTGTTGCTGTACCTCCAAACAACCTTTCTGGGACAGTATCCAAAATAACGTTGGGTTCCTCCTCTGTATGACGTGGACTTTCCAGGCCCGAGGTCTCCAGCAGCTCTCCCTCAGCTGTCCAGCTGTCCACCACTGCATTTAAGCCTGTCGTGGACTTCTGACCAGCGCTCACTAAACGGGTGCTGAGTGCTGAGCCAGTGTGTGTTAATCCTGGGTGTTGGGACAAGGTCTCTCCCATTCTTCCTCCTCATGTCGACCAGCTGGATGGACAGAATCTTCAGAAATCAGTATCTCTGAGCCCCAGTAGCTTTCAGGACAGGATGATGCATTTACAGAAAGTTTTTGTCACTGGCGCATGAATTCTGTCATGGAGTCAGATTGTCTGTTGAGTTGCTTTCCATGCAGAGAGGAAGCCTGGGATACAGTGTGACAACGGGGCACCTCCTAGCAGAAAAACAAGTCGAGGTGGTCGAGTGCAGGGACAGTGCGTGTGCAGGGACGTGGGCATGTCGTCTCTTCAGCGACTCCTGTCCAGTGATCACGATTGCGGGAGAGGGAAGCTGTGTTGGATACTGTCTTGGACCTGTAGGATCCACAGTTGGTGGAGGGAGTTCGGGCTCAGAAGATCACCTCTGAGCTGGGTGTGGTGTAGAGTTCAGGTTGGGTCCTGGAATGAGTGCTGCCCTCCCCCTTCCTACCTCTATGCTTTCAGACAGATTTTGAACAGACAACCTAGAACCAAGGGTTGGGATAGGGAAGACAGGCTCCAGGTATGTGGCATTGTATCTCAGGCTAGGAATAAAAGCCCTGGTCTGACTTTTTCCTGTGACCGCTCCACTG